TCAAGTTCTAAGACTGTAGTAAATCCATACGATAGATAATATGCAACGAATTATCTTTACTACCATTTATTTTGGAGGAGTTTGTTTTGACCGTCGTCGTCGCGTTGCCGTCCTAAACTTGTAAGGTCTCTAATGAGTCAGAACATCTTCATTTCTGTGTGAGCTTAAATAAATAAATAAAGCTCTTTAATAATCTAGTGGACTTACAAATCAATATATACATATACAAATATTAAAAATATTAAATATAGGAAATATTGGAATCGAGCGTATGTACAGTAAAAAATTAATGTTTTGTTAAAAGTTCCATTGTCCGACGTATGAACGGCAACTTATGCAGAGACGTCGCGAAGCCATCAACATTGACCAACTTTGACCAACGTTTGAATTATTGGGTGTGTGTTACACATTTTCGTCATGGGATTCGAGGTTGCCATTGCACGGGCGTACTCGGATAGAGTTCCTGGTTATAAAGATTAAGAGAGAAAAAATCTTCGGCGCAGACTGCATGATAAACTAATAATTTGAATACTCTCAAGATCGGCCACTAGCGTCAAATTTCGTGGGAATTAAGGGGTGCCTTCCGCCTCATTTTAGCTAATTTTATATCAGGCGAAATACGTCTTTTAATGTTGAAGACCACAAACCATAGGTATACGTTTAAGAATAAACAGGCGGAAATTGTTTAAATTAAATAAATCCTATTTAAACTTTATAGGCATAAAGTACTTTTAGAACTACTGCATTTCCACATTCAGACAAGTTGAAATATTTGTGTCGCCAAGGGATTTTAGAAGGCAAAAATAGTTGGTTATTTTGATAAGTAAATTATCAATGGATTAAGATGACAGCATATAATCATCTTATAAAATAAGCTAACGTTGAAATACCAAAAAACATTGTGGGGGATTTTTTGGGACACCCTGCAACGTAGGCTTTGGAAAAAAGTTTGTCGACAAAGAGATTTTATAATAAACTTTACTTGAACGATTATACCGCTGTGTTCACGATTATGTACAAATTTCACAGTACTAGCTGTGCTTCAGACACCACATACTCTTCAATTATTGTCATTGACTCAAGTGTATTGTAAAATTTATAACAGTAACAATATTCATTATAATATAGCATTGTAAATTCTGAACGCTGATTGGTTAAGAGCCGTGTTGATATAACTCAATGTCAACACAGAAACGTCGGAAAATTTCTTTCTTTATGTTTCTTTGTGCTATATTATAAAACAAATATAAAACATTTTTTTCCATATTGATATATAGTTATATCAACACTCGTGGAAATTGGGAAAACTCGAAATTGTGTGAAAACACTCCGCCCTTCTGGCGTCGTGTTTCCACACAATTTCTCGTTTTCCCAATTTCCACTCGTGTTGATATAACTGTATATCAACACGGAAAATGTTTTATATTTGTTAAATATCACCACACTCGAAAGGTCTGTGCCAGCGTAGGTAGTGATAAATACAATAAAAAAACTTGATTAAGAGGGATTGAACTACTTGAAAAATACATATAAAACTTCGACGTTTCGAGCGAAGGTCCTTCGTCGGAAAGTTAGTGAGTTTCGAAACGTCGAAGTTTTATTTGTATTTTTCAGGTAGTCGAATCTCTCCCATCACCAGATGCATACTGTTATCCCCAAAACGTTAAACTGTTTGATTTAATGCAGGGCAAATGCTAGAATATAGCTATTACACTCAAATGAAAGTTTCACTGACATGCATTCAGCACAGCCTGACTTATTAAAATGTGATGAATATAACACTTGTTCCGCGCAGTGTTTATCCTGTGTATCAGGCTTTATTGTGCAAATAGAGCCTGTATGATATATATGCACAAACCTTAATGCGGGCGCTTTCCACACACAAGCAGCAAAGTTTATATGTTGTCAATTTCACATAATTGAACAACAACAATCTAATTATAGATAAAACTGGTACTAATAGTATTATATTAATTTAATTTGCACTAACCGATCAAAAGACAGATTACATTTTTTTAGACGGGTGGATCAATCAGGCGAAAAACCGAATTTTGGCTTTTTTACATGCATCCAGACAGGATTTGTGTCATGCAGCCTCTCTTTTGTTTTTCTCCACCCGCATTCAATGAAGGGATAACAGAGTCGCATACTCAAACTAATATAATATTTTTGGCGGGTTATAATAATTATATGCTATATATACCCTCTTAAAAATAGGTGTGCTATAGTAACACACCTTTTCTGTCGCCAAAACAGCACACCTTAAGGTGTGCTACGGTAACAAACCAAGGTGTGCTAAAGTAACACAACAAAAGGTGTGTTAGCGGCTTGTCGCCAAAACAACGCACTTTTAGATGTGTTAATAAATAAGGTGTGTTAGGCAGCACGCAAAGGTGTGTTATTGTTGCTCAATGGTGTGTTATAGTAGCACACCTCAAGGTGTGTTGGTTAGTATAACTTAAGGTGTGTTAATACAACACACCTTACAAGGTGTGCTAATACAACACACCTGACAAGGTGTGCTAATACAACACCCTTGAAAGATATGCTAACACAATACACCTTACAAGGTGTGCTACTACAACACACCTTAAAAGACGTGCCAGTTTAACACACCTGGCCTTTGAATGTGCTATATAACACACCTTTGAAAGTGCCAAAATGCACTAGATATAAAAACATGAAAACTGAAAAGGATGCACTTCACTGGTAAAAATTTAATGCCAATAAATCTTTCTATTACGTTAAATCTTTCTATCAATAAGTTATCAAGTTCGCCAGTAAGTTAAAATAATATCCATGCAAGATACAGTTCCTTAAATTACAGAAGAAAGTTTAAAGGGATATGGCAATATAAAAGTTTATTGTCCCATTTGAAAGAACTTTTAAAATTATATGTTAAACTCTTTTACCGATTTTTAATATCTTGCATAGTTCTCGAAATATTTTTACATACAATGGCTGAAAACAATGGAATGTCCGACATCTTGGATTATTTTTTATCTCATTAATGCTGGTTTTAGGTGACGCCACAAGTAGGATTAGCCATATAAAAGGACCCCTTGGTGGCAAAAAAACCCCAGTTGGTTAATGTTTAAAATGTTTGCAGATATATTTTGTTATTTCAAAGAGTATCCAGAGAATAATTTTCAACTCATAAGGCTCAGTGGTTTTTTCAAGCAATATCTGCAAAAATCCAAGATGGCGACATCTCATTGCTTTAAGTCAAAATATTTCAAGAACTAAGCAAGATATAAAAAAATCGGTAAAAGGGTTTAACATATAATTTTGAAAGTTCTTCCAAATGCGACAATCTAATTTTATATTGCCATATCCCTTTAAGAATAAAGAAATACAATGTATACTTAAGCTAAATTACTGTCCCTTCTACGCATGAACGGGATTTGTATTTATACTTCTTGTTTTGATACACTTTAGCTGCTCCCATGTACTTAGCATATAAGCTAAAATGTTACCTGACGAATTAGTCTTCAATTTTGCCAAAAATCTTTTTTTTGAGACAAGCAATGAAATATTTTCGTGAATCACATGTATGGCTTTCCCTTTGCTTGCCTCGTTCAGTAACTCTTATAGGTGAAACCAAAATTGCAAAAAGTGTGTACACATTTCCTTATGTGTTTTTTCCCTGCTACTCTGACTGCAGTTCACACAGGGCAAGCTGAAAAACCGGGGTGGGGTTCGAGCTGCTTTTTAGCTTGCGCGGTGTGGACTGCACTAAGAGTAGCAGGGAAAAAATACTTATAACACCTGAGTACAAAATGCACCACCACAATCAGAGTACATTTCCTTACGTTTTTGAGACATGCGTAGAAGGGAATAAAATGTAATCGACTTGTAACTTCAAGTTCACTGTCGGTGAACATCGTTTTGCAGTTCAGCAACGAAAGACGAGTATTTAATGGATCGCTGTGTGGTGTCGGATACATCTAACGCGAAATCCTGGAGGAAGTAGAGGATACCTGACATTTGATCAGGGGAATTTATGTGGAAGACGTAATAGCTTGAAATGACGTCGACTAAAGCTTCCAACAGGTCCGTGCTGCTTTCGAAGAACGCCTGATCTTTGCCTCAAACAAAGGTTTGAAGAACGTCGTCCGGTGTGCCGAGTACCACCAGTTTAAACTGGACCGTCTTGTCTTCAAACAAATTCTTGGGCTTACTCGATGGCTATAGCGAAGAGAAAACATAATGGTAGAGTTTACTAGGAAAAACTTTTTGCATACACTGCCCTTACAATCGTGTATAGAAACTATCTCGAACTCAGCTACCAAATGTAATTTGAATATACTTACATCGTTGAACTTAATCAGTGATCCCTTTTTTTCATTGTTTTCGTTTCAATGAATGAAACAGCGTCAGCAACATCTTTATTCGCCAGCTCATCCTTTCGTAGAACTTTTTTAATACCTTTTCTCAATCTTTCCAAAGACTTCTTAAATACAAAACCTGGGACTTTACACAAGTGATTATTGAATATTTTGCCTATGAGGCGATTATTACGCAATTTTTGTCAGAAATGGCAGCAAGCAACCTCCTACCCAGGGCTTATGTGCTTGGTCGCTCTCGCAAGCCCTGAGATAATCAACCTCGTACCCAGGGCTTATGTGCTTGATCGCTCTCATAAGCCCCGGGATAATCCATGGCGTGGCTGCAGTATAGTACTTTATATTACATCAAACTTTTGCATTGGCCGAATCACATGCGACTGCTGTAAATATGGAAATTTACACAAATTAAATTATTTGAAGGTGATCACGCAAGTGCCAGGTTGGAACTACCGCAGTGGAAAATAATGCATCTCGTAAAGGATGATAATGATACAATGAAAAAGAAAATGCTATACTTACACTTTCCTTATTGTTTAGAAACGGACACGTGGCCAAAACGTCGGTACACGATGTTGCTTCACTTTCAATGAACTTTCTTCTCGGCAAAAACGTTTCATCGACCAAAGCAGCTTCCTGAGACTGAGCCAATTTTTAATCTTTCAGCAGCGCCATGTTTCTTTTCTGCGTCTCCATACCCATTACTTGCGGCTCCAGCTTTGCTATTTCCACGGAAGATCCTTTTCCTTCATTTTGCGACGGCAACGTTGGTTTTGGTTCTGAGTATCGCCTTTGGTTCCTGAAATACTGGCTTAACTGTTTTTTAACAGTTCCCTAGAAGATACACAATTAAAAATATCATCCAGGTGTTATTAAATTTCCCATTCATACTACAATATTTTATCCCTTTGACGTAAAAACTTGTGAAAGTAAAATGTTCAAAACAATATCAGTCATTTATTGGAACCTATTACACCAACGAGGCAAGAAGGGGCAAGAAAATTCCAAGAAGATTCTTTTAAATACAATTATTCACTACTCCACTTAAATTCCATGATTTTACTAACTTATAAGTAAGAGCATGGAATGAGTGAGATGTAAGCAGGTGCAGATTTTTACTGAAAATACATTTTAAATATGTTTACTCACAATGAAACACAGTAAGTTGCTGAAAGATGCCGAAAGAGCCAGAATGTACTTTTAGTACAAACATTCCGTGCAACAGACTATTACTATAAGACATTAAACCGAAAATAACATACCCAATAACGGGAACCGGTTAAATCTTTCAACTCCGGAAATTTCTTACAAGTTTTCATTGCCATTCGTTTGTAATCGCCTTGTTGTGATTACAAATTCTACTGTAAAAAGCGCATATCTCTGCAACCAATGACCTTCTCATTGGCAAGACGTTCCCACCCTGGATTGCTTTCTCAACCTTTATCGAAAATCTATCAGGAAAAGGGAGATTTAAGGGAAGACCAACTTGAGTCTTGTCCGGTTTGGAGGTTGATGCTGCTTCAGATTTTAATTGAATAGGTTCATTCGCTGGTTGTGGGATACTGGGAGTAAGTGTAACATCTGGGACTGGGGGCTATTTGAAGAAGTAGAGGACAATGGTTGATTGAACATGTCCATGCCACTAGCAAATGAGCTACAATCATCAAGGTCAGCATAGTTGGCCGGGGCACCAAATTCTTCAAATGAATTATTCAACTAAAACAAAAAGGTTTTGCATTCTAAAAATCAGCTCAAACTTTGCGCAAGTCTTCAGGCCACATCTAAAAAGAATGCGCATTGATTAAACAGAACAGGTAAATCCAGTTTAAAGAAACAGGAAAAGCTATGTTAACACCACACTTTTTACTTTTCACATCAATGTTTAAATGATCAGAATTTGATTTGCCTTAGTCAAACAGCAAAATATAATTTATTTTTGAAAAAGGTAATTTACTGACTAAAACGCACCTGCATGCAGATCATTAACAATATACAAATCACGCATTTCATATATTATTATTATTACAATACACTATTATAACTGCATGTAATAAATGTATCGTCATTGTGTTGTTAAGCACTAAAGTTTGTTAAGGTATGCTCTAATTTTGACAACCAAGTCATGTAAATCACATCTCAAGGAGGGATTTGATCTTGTACATGATTTTGTTAATTTTCGCAGCTCGTCATCCTTAACAGCTTTGGCCACATCATAGAAAACTATTCCTAAAGAGAAAGTGTCACTCTTGATAGACTGGGGAGCTTCGCCCTCTATAACGTCAGGAGCAATGTGATTGTGGAACTTGTAATACTTTTCCTTGTCAGTAGGAGTAAGGTTGTATAGTTTGCCTTCAGTTATCAGTGTTGCTTTTCCAAGATCATTTAGGATCATGCGTATGCTCTTCTCCTCTGAGTTAGATGATGATTTGGTTAAGAGCAAATTATCGCTCTTGATATCATTGTGCAGATATCCAGCATTGTGTAAGTAGCTCAAAGCACTACAACATTCCTCCATCAAAGTAGTCCAAGGCAAAGATGAATTATCTTCTCTTGCAAGAGCATCATGAACTGCATGTAACAGACTGTCCTTCAATGCCACAAAACCTAGACACTAAACTGTAAGGAGCAACCTTGGTGCATACTCCAAACAGATATGGCAGGTTCTTGTGAGAGAGTTTGGACATAATTGTAGCCTCTCTTATCACATCTTTTTTTGAACTGCACTTTGGCTTCAAGTGTTTTACAGCAACAGGATACCCTTGGAACTCGGAAAGATCGACTGTACCAAAAGTCCCTTTTCCTAGGAAGGAATTTTCTTTAAACTTGGAAATCAACAATGGGTCGATTTCGTGCAATTCCAAGTTGGCTTTAAGTTTCTGTTGCTGAAAATAGGAAATAAGCAAACGTGGGTTCAGCATATATAGTAGGTGCTATGTGTATTCAAATTCCAACAATATATATAGCTTGATTTCTCAAGGTCTCGCGTTTCTATATTCCCTGTATAATTAATCTTATATGCTTTATTCACGGCTAAAGTTACTCGTAACGTGTCAGTGTTAGATTCGAAGTCATATTACAACCCTGGAAGTCACAACTCGATCTAGGTTTGTCACATAGAGTATACGCCAATGAATGATTTGCCGGTTGCCAGATCCCATATTTCCGCGCGGTTAGCGCAAAGAATCTTGGGATCGCCAGGGGGAAAACACAACATATTCGCATTATGATAGTAGTTCTCCACGAATCCTTTTTACCAATCGGCAATGAGTATAAATCCATTTCTGATTATAATAAATATTTAAAAATGCAAATTTTATTCTACAAATGTCAGATTGTTTTTAAATCGAATATGTGAATATTTAACCGACACTGAGGTGAATAATTGTTTTAGCATATACTGTACCATGGCACAACAAAACAAAAATGACCAAAAAACAACGAAAATATTTTACGTTGAAAACAATGTGTTTTACCTCCCGTTTAATTGGCATTTCCGGTCGCTGAAAATTTGACAATATTTAGGTAAATTGAAAAGTCTGCTACGGACACTACAAAACTCCGATTTACACTATTTCGTTATATGTTGTAAAACGCATATTAATCTTGACTATGCGCGGAGTTCATTGTGTTTTGTTAACTTTTCAATGCAAAATAAATCTTTCAAAAATAGCCTAAAACTCGCTTTCCCAACTAAGACAAAAGTATGCCGTTTTTTAATGGCAATATCTCAAAAGTTAGAAGCAGTGAAGAAACTAACATACCACTAAAGTTTAGCTTGTAAGCCATGTTAAAAGCCTCTTTAAAAAAATGTTGCGGCATTTTCCAGTATTTTGTGCGACAGCCCTTGAAACATTACCAAATTGTGAAATTTACATGGAATTTTGGCACTTCCTGTTGTGATAAAAACATTTTATACCTAAGCATATGTTATAGAAATCTACATACATCACAACAAATTTTTGTCTGCCGGACCATTGCAATGTTGTTCGGACAAAATCTGTAATTGAACTGGTTGGTAAAATGTCGTAAATCACCGAAATTAGCATTGTTTTTCATTGTCTTGTTTTAAGACGGAGCCAATCTGGGCTAGCCTGCTCGCAGCTATAAATCTTAAATACGGGGTTAAAGAGTTTGTTCACGCGATATCGGTTACGAAATAGCGGCATTATAGAATGGGCTGTGTGCTTGTTTTCATACAAAGCTTGACACGTTCGCATGACTCCGAAACTTCATCTGCCAGAAAATAAAAATAACACTGTTTATTGTTTCAGATCTTCCTTATCTGAGGAAGTATTACGAAACAATAATGCACAGTTCTAAGATATTCAGAAACTAAATAAGTATTTATATCACTAACCACCTAGGCAAGAATCTTGGGCTTTTTTATTGTACATGTATACGCTATGTAGATGTTGGCGTCGTTCCAATGTCAAAGAAAATTTTGTTCAAATGATATTGCTAAGTGTCTCCGCTCGTGTTCCAAGATCTGCCATGTAAAGTGTATTGAAATGTATTTCAATGCTAATCGCATTAATCATATGGCACAGAAGCCTGCATGTGCGGAGGAGAGAGACTAAGTGTTCAAATAGTTTAAATTACTACGATTGTAGTAACACTTTTACACTTATAACACTTTTTGTTTGTGGAAACACCAAGTGGTGTTTATTTTATCGTGATATATTTTATCGCCATGCAATCATACAAAGAACTTATTACGTGGTATCGTGTTTCAATAGTCTAAGTACGCTGATCACTTTACTACAAGTTTACAACTATGCAAGTCAAGCGAGTTCATTGATTAAACTAAATATGTGCAATTGCGTCCTAATTACAAACAGATTAGATCCAGCAAACTAGTGAGGCGCTATTACGGGTTACTGATATAAAGAAAAGTTATATAATGATACGGGATACTGGACAATAAAATGTTTCCCTATTAAGTTAATTAAAGTCATTATTGTCATTATTGATTCATTATTAATTAAAGGCATTAAAATAATGTGGTCAGTGTAAAGTTTTTTCGTAGTTCGCAACGGATACAACAGTCACAATATTTTTCAATTTCTTACTAATTCATATCAAGAATTTCCGTATTGTTACTAATATAAATAATTGTCAATTTTGTCTACGTTGGATTGATTATTGGTGATTTCTGGTATTTTCATTTGGTTCATTACATGTGGAACTTATATAGTCTTTGAAGGATTATGATATGTCGTATTACAAAATGGAAATCAAGCTCCCCCACCCCACCGTCCCCCATCCGAATATTGCTTCAGTAATAAATACTACGTATATAAGTCGTCTATTTACACATGCATACACATGTCGATACTAAAGTTTCCACTTTCTGCAACAGATCACGCTTACTGGTTCGTGATGAATGTACAATTTCAAAATGCTTGCAAATTTCTTTTAGCATTGGAATCTTAAAAAGTTTAAGTTTGTTGGTCTTCGTGCGTCCGCATAAGTCATATGTATCGTACATAATTGGATGCTTCAATGCGATTTCTTCCAACACCTCTTGCATGCATTCTTCGTAAATCAAATCTTCTGAGTATGCCAAATGTTCTTCATCAGAAACTCCATCTTCGTCCTCTTCGACTTGGCCAGTCTGTTTTCGTCGATTGGCCGTAATCCTCGAAAAGAAACTTTGAATCTGACTTTTAGTTAACCATTCCTCTCTCTTAAACTTGCGCAATCCTGCCTCGTCCTTTGCTGTCCTCATATCTCTTGCGACTTGTCCCGGATTGAGTTTACAACCTGTCTTTTCCCCAACATCGTAATTTTCTGTCAAATAGACGCGAATCTCTTTGCTAAAACGCTTTCGTGTGCTTACCTGATGTAAAGCCCACCCTTTCTCCAAACTTGTATGGAATTTCCGGACTCTTTTTTCTTTATCTTCCGGTGTTGATTGTTCTTCAATTCTGATGGAGTTAAACTGACTAACCCATTCCCGCCTAAGAGAGTCATAGATATTTTCTTTCGTGGTGTTGTGCTTCTCAAGGGAAATGTGCACTTCTAAATCGTTGAGGTTTTCAAAGCTTTGTTCACATCCGACTTCTTGGCACTCGAATAACAGCACATCTTCGTTGTCCTTATTTGGTTGTTCGTCAGGTTTTGTATTGGCTGAAGATTTCACAACTTTGGCAGTGGTGAGGAAGAATTCTTTCTTGCCATCGATAGTTAGCTTAGTTGGACTTTGGTGGTGAATATAAATGGCGTGCCATGGAATGAGCTTCCCTGGTCCTATTCCAAACGCCTTCCAAACTCTAAGGCCCTTCGTTTCATATCGAAAATTATGGAGACTGCCAAATGCATTGATATTCTTGACTTGCAAGTCCCTATTCTTCTGATTAAGACAAAACACGCCCGCTGTAGAAGCTGCGATAGGTCGTTCCTTGAGCGCTTGGTACATGTCCGCAGCTGTCACGATGTCGTTGCCTTCGTGGCAGTAACGTCGAATAGTCCCTTTGAGGTGGCATAAAATGCGGTCACAAATATCTTTGCCGTACTGCGGTTCAGAGTGGTCGTAACGAACAACAGTAATACCAATTCTTTCTCCAATGTCCCTCATGGCAGCGGCTATGTTGTTGTTGTGATAGCAGCCAGCTTCGTCTGAGCGAATGAAGACTTGTTGAATTTCTGGTCTTTCTTTCTTGATTGAAGTTAAAAGTTGCTCAAGAATTGATACAACAGAATACCAGTCTTGGACACAGCTGTTAAACAGGTGGACGTAGTACTCAATTTGGAGGAGATTGGTTTCACTTTTCGAAAGAACACTGCAGACATGCCAGTTCATTCCTCTTTTTCCGAACCAATCGGATTGTTTCTCCCTATGTCGCATTTGAACAAATTTCATTGCCCAGTCCATAATTATCAAGATTGATGATCTGTGTAGAGATTTTATAACGTCAGTTTTGCTATCTTCCTGCTGTTGAGCGCGTAAAATGTGCGCTTTCCAGTTATGAATAAAGCGTAGTGCCTGTGCAACGTCATGCTTGTAGTCGTCCAGTTGTTCCATGGTATACATATTATTTGCACGTTCTGTCAGTTGCTCTTCAATGGACGTCATGATTTGATTGATGTTTTCACAGCTTTCACAGGATACGTTGTGTGAATGCGAACATTCAGCTTGGAAATCTGGATCACCAGGATCACTCAAGGCGAACGTTCGGCAATGGTCAGGACAGCTGCTTGATTCGTTTCTGCAGTGGACTCGATAGTTCGTTTTTAGATAGCGTTTACCATCTTTTAGACCGCGAAGAACTTGTGTGGACCACGCTTTTTCTGCTCCATACGTTTGTTCCAGATCTTCTACAATGCGAGAAAGGGTATGAAATGCGGCACTGCCATCCGTTGCAATATTGTCCAACCCTTGGAGTGACTTTCGTTGCGATGCTTCCCTTACTTGTAACACTCGATACATCGATGCACGGCTAAGCGGACTGAAACCTTCTCCCTTGCAATGCTGTTCATACTGGGCAATACGACAAAAAGTGATCTAGCTTTCCTTTATCCATACGATGACGATACATTGTAACATTTTCAATTGGAAAACCTTCTCCAACCGTTTTAGCGTGCGACCGTGCAAGCTTTATTTTTCGATCGCTGAGCTTCTCGAATGGTTCATGCATCTCTTTTAGTTTTTTTGTAGTGTACTGATAGCAATACAAACTCAAAATTTGGGTCTTGATATTCTTTGTCGGTGCGTTTTTGTAGGCATTCAGTAGAGCCAGCACTTCATTAGGGGGTGACTCACTACGGACTGGTGAAATTACACGGAGGAGATTTTCGCCGTCTTTTGGTGCAATAGTTTTACACACTATTGCGCACGCCTCTTCAGCCTTTCGCATGCACTCGGTTTTCTCGTAGCTTGTAGCTTCACTAAGCGTTGTTTGTAGCTGAAAGATCACAGGTTCAAAGTGTGTGTTGGATGCTCTAGCTATGCTTTCCATTCCATCATTAAAAACTTGCAACACGCTATCTTCATTAGTCAAAGCATTGTAACTTCTGTTATCGGCCCTTTCCAGATTGCTTGGTGTCCATGTTGGATCTTTCCCCTCTACTTCTGGAGACCCCAACATTGCGGGGAAGGATTGTTGTGCAACTTGCTTGGCTATTCTAGGAAACCTAAATGTTTAAAATATTTTATTTAAAAGATGGTCGATTGTCTTGCAAGATGAAGAATGGGATTAGTATAAACTTGCCTTCTTTCAGTTTTAGATGTCGTATCTCCATTGTCAGCTTTTAACCAGCGTGCTTCGTAATCCATTTTTCCTTGTGCCTTTTTCTGCAGCTGCAGCAAAGGGCTAAAAACAGGTTTATTTGATCAGAACACCGTTTTTATCCATCCACACGAACACCCCCCCTTCCCCAATACCTAAGTACGTTTATAGTCTTTATAGTTTTGTAATATTCTGCATTCTGATTGGTTACCGTATTTGGACCGATATCCCGAGTGTCGATCATTAGCTCGAATTAGAGGCGTTTTTCTTCCACTTATATAAATTCTCTTTGTGGAGGAAAATTATTCCTGAAGGAACTTTAAGAATATTAAAGGCGTATAAAAAATCTTGCAAAACGCTTTATTTTATTGAAGGTTTTGAGGATTTTTGAATATAAGGTGGGTTAGATTCAAAAATCCTCAAAACCTTCAAACCACTGCTACGCTGGCTTGACAAAGTCAATATGCCTTTTATTTACCTGTCTTACCTGACCGGTCCGTTTTGGCGGGAAAATTGCCGAGTTCAATAATTTTACATGTAATGTTGGTAAAGCATGACAAATACAAATCAAACTGATAAGAACATGCAACCAAAGAAAAAGCTAACAGTTAAGTCTAATAATAAAAACAGCCCTCAAAACATTACATTAAATTGTAGCAAGAGTCAGTCATATAAGGGGCGGACCATTAGATAAGTGATGGGGGGGGGGGACAAAAGCAAAAAGAAAAATCGAGCAGGGGGAACAGAAAAAACTCGTGCACCAGAAAAGTTTGAAATAAAAATTTGTGTGTAGAGACTTTTCAATAGGGAAAATTATATGTTGACAGGGCCTATCAGAGGTACAGTGTAAAGGTGGCCCCCAAATTTGGAAAATAAAAAAAAAATAATTTGGAAATTTTTCAGTTAGTAATAGTGTGAGAAAAAAATTCTAAACCTAAATGTAGTGGATATTGGTGCAAAAAAAGCGTTTTAATAATGTTTTAAGGGAAAATGTGTTTTAAACGTTAACAACACTGGTGTGGTCCGGAAAAAAATTTCACTTCACTGCCCCCCCCCCCGCCCCGCTAAGAAAAAAAATAAAATCGAGCAAGGGATTAAAAAAAAAATCGACACAGCAAAAAATTTTGAAAAAATAATCGTGCACGTTGGACATGGACCCCCCCCCCATCACTTTTCTAATGGTCCCTCCCTAATTACACCCGTTTCCAAAATCACGCGATCGACTAACTCGAAAATAATGTTTGTTCAAATGTCAGTTAATTAATAAGTTTTATCTAAAAATAGCAAACGTAAACAAAAGTCATTTTATAACGTATTTAATACTTAAAGAAGAAAATTGAATCAAAATGAGCTAGATATACAAACTAAAAGGAACAAAAAGCCATCACAACAGAAATCTGTGGCGAGATTGACTTTCAAAGTTCGGAAAAGAACAATTTTGTACCTCGATTTTACTGTGTATTAAACCCGCTTGCGCTAGATTATAGCGGTAATATTATGATTTCGTTGTGCTTAAATTTTGCAATAATTATCACACAAATAACTTGAAAATCCTTCTCCCAGGCTTTATATATAAAGGATACTAAGCATATATATCGATAATGAACCGCAAAACTAAAAGTTGTAAACAGTTTGAACTTCGTGACCGTGTGACATAAAACTGACATGTTAACTCCAGCTATTTTCGCCTGGTCGCATAATTTCGAAAACGCGTGTAATTCATTATAATAATCATGTATTAAACTCGTTGGGCGTTTAGGCATGCGTGAAAATCTAAGGCAAATACTTTCTTCCACTCGGGTTAATGAGTCTTAGTTTGTCATATAAGTAAATATAGGGTAAATTACGTACCTGATCCAGTGGGAACAGTAACTCCGTAAAGAAGCAGCACTTCCTCAGACATCTTGATGGAGAATGTATCTCTCCCCACGACTTTCTTACTATTACCGACATGACCAGGATATTGACATGTGGTTTTGCTCTTCAACCAATACCTTCCTAATCTATGTCGATGTTTCGGGCAAATGCCCATTTTGCACATTTGGTCGTCGCTAAGGTCAAAGAGGCCTGCCCTCGCCAGGATAAGCTTATATTCATCGACATTTTCTTTAGACAAATGACAGCTTCGAAGATGAGAACGAATGTCATCCTTGCAGTCATACAAACAAACTGTTTCGGTACATCCCCGTGAAACTCCGCAATTAGCAGGGTCACTTGCACTCAAAAAGCAGTAAAGATCCATTATACATGCTTTATGGTTTCCAGTCGTAAACATTTACTCTAATTTTAGCAACTCCTTTTAACTCGTGCGCAAACCTCCCCCCCCCCCTCCCCGGGCCCCACCGGCAGGTTTATGTCCGCAATTACACTTTTTATTTGTGATACATATAATTCGTTAATCATCTGATGCGTTTTAAGATTCTTTCGCTTACTGTAAACACACAACGTGTTAAATTAGCCAGAAAAACTGCACGCGAAAACCAAATCAACTTTCGTTCCGATTTATAAACGGTTTAAAACCACGAATTTCATAGTAATGCGCCATATTAGTTAAAACAATTTACCAGTCGTGGCATGTGAGTGTTTTTTCTACTTCAAATTTTGCATTAACATTTTTGGTTGAAGTCTAACACCAATCCTGCTCGGATTGTGCTCCCTTTAAACTTCCTGTTTGAATGTTAAAATTCCATGTAAATTTCGTAATTTGGTAATGTTTTGAAGGGCTGTCGCACAAAATACGGCAAAATACCGCAACATGTTTTTAAAGAGGCTTTTAACATGGTATACAAGCTAAACTTTAGTGGTATGTTAGTTTCTTCACTGCTTCTAACTTTTGAGATATTGCCATTAAAAAACGGCATATTTTTGTCTTAGTTGGGAAAACGAGTTTTAGGCTGTTTTTGAAAGATTAATTTTGCATTGAAAAGTTAACAAAACACAATGAACTCCACGCATAGTCAAGATTGATATGCGTTTTACAACATATAACGAAATAGTGTAAATCGGAGTTTTGTAGTGTCCGTAGCAGACTTTTCAATTTACCTAAATATTGTCAAATTTTCAGCGACCGGAAATGCCAATTAAGGTGTTCAGATTCAGTGGGCAAAAACAGGCCATATCGAAAGATATGGCAAAATGTGTAAGCACCGTATTAACGTTGTATGAAATACTTTTTAACTACAAAGTTTGAAGGTCAAATATTTTCTGAACATATTTGCAGTGGACCGTTCTTACAGAGACGGCCTCTTAAGTCTTTTATTATGTAAGTATACCAAGGGTGGGTTGACTACAAAATTTTTGTAGTTCGCCGCTATAACTACAGCTACTTCAAAAATATGTAGTCAGCTACAACTACTGCCACTTTTGAACAAAGGTATAGTTCGCTACTGACTACAGCTACTGCTTAAAAAATGTAGCGAACTACTTCGCTACGCTATATATTTTTAGTTTTACTGTATTTGGAGCATCTATACTAATTTAGGCTGAAATGTAATCTATAATAAATCGACTTACGAGTAGCAACAGTAAACACAAAGCAACATTTTTGTAAGCACTACAGTGTTCAAGAGTGCAAATTGACTATTGAGTATTGATTTTAAGGAAACCGTGTCTCAATATCATGCTATTCTATCAAGTTGCTAACAATTTTAAAAAGTAGCGAATAGCGATTTGCTGTTTGAAAAGTAGTCAACTACTCGGCTACTTTTAGGCAAAATGTAGTTCGCTATAACTATAAAGCTACTGTTTTAAAAAGTAGTCAAAAACTACTGGCTACTTGAAAATTGTAGTTCGCTACAGTAGCAAACTACAACTACTTCGCTAATACCCACCCTTGAAGTATACAGAAGCTATATATATAGGAAACTTTAGCTTGTATATTGTCAATTCTAAACTCTTCAATTCTCCCTATAAAAGTCCAGTAAGAACTCAGTATCCTTCATTGGTCGAGTGTGTTACCATGCAGCTACAGGAGGAAACTTGAACTAAACCAACTTTATAAACCAAGAGCGCCTGCATGCTTGCTGCACATAACTTTCTGTACACGTTGGTGAAAAGACTCAACACTAGATATACATGGTTTGACTTATTTCATCATTTTTAAACCTTTGACGAGTCTGCTACCTTTGAAACTAATATTTTACTCGCTTGTATAATACCATACTCATATATTTTGTGTTCAATATATAGACCACAGTAAGACTTTTTTAAATGTTTATTTCATTAACAAACGACGTTTCGGATTTAAAAAAGTCTTACTGTGGTCTATATATTGAACACAAAATATACTAATAACATGAGACTTAGGGAAAGTTCGTTCCTAAACATTTTGAAAAAACATACTCATATAGTCTTAGATTTATTTCATTTATATATATCAAATGAAACTAAAATATCTTGAGAACGAAAAACGATAAGATAGAAAACTTGTCCAGTGAACTTATTTTACAGTTTAACATGTTCTTTCTGCCGAAAATGCTAACTTAAATTTCGTTGCCATTGCAGTAAACTCTCCTGTTTTCATGGCACTGAATATATTTCTTAAAGGTCTTCCAAAATTAGAAATTGATAAAAGTCTAATCGTAAATGGACGTGTCCTTACAATGCTAGCCCACAAGCAGTCACTACATGATGTGGATACACAATCTGAAGATAAATCCGAAGATGAGTCTGAAGATGTGGACACAACTTGTAACAGTTGTAACAAAGATTTACACATCTCCTATTTGGGTACATGCCCTGTATGCGCATGGACGGATTTTTATCCCAATTGTACAAGGTGTCGCTGTATGATCTGTGATTTTCGACTGTCCGAAGGAAATTTCACCCATGTAATCGCCAGTTGCTCACATTGTCATTGTGATGAAACTACGGATGTTAGTACTGATAAAGGACTTTTTTAGCATAAAATAGATGAATAAAGTGATATTTGATCAGTTGACTGCGTGAAGTGGAACTGAACGCATCAATATGCCAAGGGGTAAATTTGTTGTAGACGAAAAACTATTGAGAGACCATTCTTGAGACAACGTGGCGGAAACATCGCTGGGTTTCGTGGTGCACGTATGCAAAGGGGATATGGGATCGGAGGTATTTTCAAGAGCCTTACGAGATATGTTATCCCTCTATTCAAACAAGGTGCTAAAGTTGTTGGCAAAAGAGCATGCAAGCAGCCACAGAATTTGGTCAAGATATACTCCAAGGAAAAATGTCCGAGAATCTGTAAAGACTCACGGAGGTGACGTT